CTGGCTGGAGGGGGCCTGAGTGGAGGGGGTCTGGCTGGAGAGAACCTGAGTGGAGGGGGCCTGGCGGTCCCGCGGGGACGGACTGGGAAGGGCAGTGGCTCCCAGGGCCCGCGTTGCCTGTTACACACTGTGTCTCCCCACTGCCTGTGAGCTCTGCGGACGGTTTTACGGAGGGAAGCACTCCCGTCAGCACAGTGTGGCCTCCTAGCGGGTCCCCACCGGCCCGGGAAGGGAAGGGCAGGTCGTCGCGGCTCTGCCCACGGAGACAGGGCCCTCGTGGGCGCTCGGCTGTCACACGACTGCCACTCACACGGCGCGGCTCAGTGTCTTCTGTTTCCCACGGGACGTCTGGGGTAAAACAGCACAAACACAGTAGCTGCTCACCGGCTCCGGAGAACGGCCCTTGGGGGCTCGTCCTGCTTTTCGGGTGTCTCCCTCGCTCCCACTTTTTCATGCTCAGGACGAGAGCAGGACAGGACTGGGTTGCACTGTTGTCCCCACAGTCAGGGCACAGCTCACACGTCTGCCTGCAGAGCCCGCGACAGAGAAGCGTCGACGTGAGAGAAACACATCCATGGGTCGCCTCCTGCACGAGCCCTGAGCAGGGCCCCGGCCGGGGAGGAGCCTGCAACCGAGGTCCGTGCCCTTGACCGGAATCGAACCCGGGACCCTTTGGTCCGCAGGCCGACGCTCCATCCACTGAGCCACACCGGCCGGGGCTCACTCATTTTTGTCTTTGACAATCTGATGGTCAAAACACACGTCACGGGATGAACACGTGTTCCTGCCCTTGTCACCCATGAGCGTCGAGGGCTTCCCCCTCCTGGTCAGTGAGGCTGCTCGGGCTCCGTCCTGCGGGCGTCCATCCATCCCTCCCTCTCCGGTGACGGGCGGGGTCGCTGTGTCCCCCGTGGCCACGCCGTTTCTCCGGGCTGGAGTGGGACCTCCACGGTCCAGTGACCACATTGTTTTACTTTATTCGTAAGTCGGTGGCCAAAGGGATCCGCCTTTCCCTTCCTTCATGACTTCCCCCCGATTCTTACAAAATTTACCGACACTCACCTGTTGTGCAGGTCACGACACACGTGCATCAGACAGGAATTCATCTGTGAAAGCGAGAATACGTTTGCTGTTTGCGAGACGCCATAAACCCTGTCCGCTTACCCCCCCCCCGCCCCTCACGTCCGCTGTTTAAAGGAATACACTGGCTTTGCGTTTGGCAGTGGCTGCGACGTTGGAAGTTCTTGGGGAAGGTGCCACACGTTTGGGGTGACAGTG